CCTCCCTCCGCCGCCCGGGTCCGCCCCTCCCTCCGCCGCCCGGGTCCGCCCCTCCCTCCGCCGCCCGGGTCCGCCCCTCCCTCCGCCGCCCGGGTCCGCCCCTCCCTCCGCCGCCCGGGTCCGCCCCTCCCTCCGCCGCCCGGGTCCGCCCCTCCCTCCGCCGCCCGGGTCCGCCCCTCCCTCCGCCGCCCGGGTCCGCCCCTCCCTCCGCCGCCCGGGTCCGCCCCTCCCTCCGCCGCCCGGGTCCGCCCCTCCCTCCGCCGCCCGGGTCCGCCCCTCCCTCCGCCGCCCGGGTCCGCCCCTCCCTCCGCCGCCCGGGTCCGCCCCTCCCTCCGCCGCCCGGGTCCGCCCCTCCCTCCGCCGCCCGGGTCCGCCCCTCCCTCCGCCGCCCGGGTCCGCCCCTCCCTCCGCCGCCCGGGTCCGCCCCTCCCTCCGCCGCCCGGGTCCGCCCCTCCCTCCGCCGCCCGGGTCCGCCCCTCCCTCCGCCGCCCGGGTCCGCCCCTCCCTCCGCCGCCCGGGTCCGCCCCTCCCTCCGCCGCCCGGGTCCGCCCCTCCCTCCGCCGCCCGGGTCCGCCCCTCCCTCCGCCGCCCGGGTCCGCCCCTCCCTCCGCCGCCCGGGTCCGCCCCTCCCTCCGCCGCCCGGGTCCGCCCCTCCCTCCGCCGCCCGGGTCCGCCCCTCCCTCCGCCGCCCGGGTCCGCCCCTCCCTCCGCCGCCCGGGTCCGCCCCTCCCTCCGCCGCCCGGGTCCGCCCCTCCCTCCGCCGCCCGGGTCCGCCCCTCCCTCCGCCGCCCGGGTCCGCCCCTCCCTCCGCCGCCCGGGTCCGCCCCTCCCTCCGCCGCCCGGGTCCGCCCCTCCCTCCGCCGCCCGGGTCCGCCCCTCCCTCCGCCGCCCGGGTCCGCCCCTCCCTCCGCCGCCCGGGTCCGCCCCTCCCTCCGCCGCCCGGGTCCGCCCCTCCCTCCGCCGCCCGGGTCCGCCCCTCCCTCCGCCGCCCGGGTCCGCCCCTCCCTCCGCCGCCCGGGTCCGCCCCTCCCTCCGCCGCCCGGGTCCGCCCCTCCCTCCGCCGCCCGGGTCCGCCCCTCCCTCCGCCGCCCGGGTCCGCCCCTCCCTCCGCCGCCCGGGTCCGCCCCTCCCTCCGCCGCCCGGGTCCGCCCCTCCCTCCGCCGCCCGGGTCCGCCCCTCCCTCCGCCGCCCGGGTCCGCCCCTCCCTCCGCCGCCCGGGTCCGCCCCTCCCTCCGCCGCCCGGGTCCGCCCCTCCCTCCGCCGCCCGGGTCCGCCCCTCCCTCCGCCGCCCGGGTCCGCCCCTCCCTCCGCCGCCCGGGTCCGCCCCTCCCTCCGCCGCCCGGGTCCGCCCCTCCCTCCGCCGCCCGGGTCCGCCCCTCCCTCCGCCGCCCGGGTCCGCCCCTCCCTCCGCCGCCCGGGTCCGCCCCTCCCTCCGCCGCCCGGGTCCGCCCCTCCCTCCGCCGCCCGGGTCCGCCCCTCCCTCCGCCGCCCGGGTCCGCCCCTCCCTCCGCCGCCCGGGTCCGCCCCTCCCTCCGCCGCCCGGGTCCGCCCCTCCCTCCGCCGCCCGGGTCCGCCCCTCCCTCCGCCGCCCGGGTCCGCCCCTCCCTCCGCCGCCCGGGTCCGCCCCTCCCTCCGCCGCCCGGGTCCGCCCCTCCCTCCGCCGCCCGGGTCCGCCCCTCCCTCCGCCGCCCGGGTCCGCCCCTCCCTCCGCCGCCCGGGTCCGCCCCTCCCTCCGCCGCCCGGGTCCGCCCCTCCCTCCGCCGCCCGGGTCCGCCCCTCCCTCCGCCGCCCGGGTCCGCCCCTCCCTCCGCCGCCCGGGTCCGCCCCTCCCTCCGCCGCCCGGGTCCGCCCCTCCCTCCGCCGCCCGGGTCCGCCCCTCCCTCCGCCGCCCGGGTCCGCCCCTCCCTCCGCCGCCCGGGTCCGCCCCTCCCTCCGCCGCCCGGGTCCGCCCCTCCCTCCGCCGCCCGGGTCCGCCCCTCCCTCCGCCGCCCGGGTCCGCCCCTCCCTCCGCCGCCCGGGTCCGCCCCTCCCTCCGCCGCCCGGGTCCGCCCCTCCCTCCGCCGCCCGGGTCCGCCCCTCCCTCCGCCGCCCGGGTCCGCCCCTCCCTCCGCCGCCCGGGTCCGCCCCTCCCTCCGCCGCCCGGGTCCGCCCCTCCCTCCGCCGCCCGGGTCCGCCCCTCCCTCCGCCGCCCGGGTCCGCCCCTCCCTCCGCCGCCCGGGTCCGCCCCTCCCTCCGCCGCCCGGGTCCGCCCCTCCCTCCGCCGCCCGGGTCCGCCCCTCCCTCCGCCGCCCGGGTCCGCCCCTCCCTCCGCCGCCCGGGTCCGCCCCTCCCTCCGCCGCCCGGGTCCGCCCCTCCCTCCGCCGCCCGGGTCCGCCCCTCCCTCCGCCGCCCGGGTCCGCCCCTCCCTCCGCCGCCCGGGTCCGCCCCTCCCTCCGCCGCCCGGGTCCGCCCCTCCCTCCGCCGCCCGGGTCCGCCCCTCCCTCCGCCGCCCGGGTCCGCCCCTCCCTCCGCCGCCCGGGTCCGCCCCTCCCTCCGCCGCCCGGGTCCGCCCCTCCCTCCGCCGCCCGGGTCCGCCCCTCCCTCCGCCGCCCGGGTCCGCCCCTCCCTCCGCCGCCCGGGTCCGCCCCTCCCTCCGCCGCCCGGGTCCGCCCCTCCCTCCGCCGCCCGGGTCCGCCCCTCCCTCCGCCGCCCGGGTCCGCCCCTCCCTCCGCCGCCCGGGTCCGCCCCTCCCTCCGCCGCCCGGGTCCGCCCCTCCCTCCGCCGCCCGGGTCCGCCCCTCCCTCCGCCGCCCGGGTCCGCCCCTCCCTCCGCCGCCCGGGTCCGCCCCTCCCTCCGCCGCCCGGGTCCGCCCCTCCCTCCGCCGCCCGGGTCCGCCCCTCCCTCCGCCGCCCGGGTCCGCCCCTCCCTCCGCCGCCCGGGTCCGCCCCTCCCTCCGCCGCCCGGGTCCGCCCCTCCCTCCGCCGCCCGGGTCCGCCCCTCCCTCCGCCGCCCGGGTCCGCCCCTCCCTCCGCCGCCCGGGTCCGCCCCTCCCTCCGCCGCCCGGGTCCGCCCCTCCCTCCGCCGCCCGGGTCCGCCCCTCCCTCCGCCGCCCGGGTCCGCCCCTCCCTCCGCCGCCCGGGTCCGCCCCTCCCTCCGCCGCCCGGGTCCGCCCCTCCCTCCGCCGCCCGGGTCCGCCCCTCCCTCCGCCGCCCGGGTCCGCCCCTCCCTCCGCCGCCCGGGTCCGCCCCTCCCTCCGCCGCCCGGGTCCGCCCCTCCCTCCGCCGCCCGGGTCCGCCCCTCCCTCCGCCGCCCGGGTCCGCCCCTCCCTCCGCCGCCCGGGTCCGCCCCTCCCTCCGCCGCCCGGGTCCGCCCCTCCCTCCGCCGCCCGGGTCCGCCCCTCCCTCCGCCGCCCGGGTCCGCCCCTCCCTCCGCCGCCCGGGTCCGCCCCTCCCTCCGCCGCCCGGGTCCGCCCCTCCCTCCGCCGCCCGGGTCCGCCCCTCCCTCCGCCGCCCGGGTCCGCCCCTCCCTCCGCCGCCCGGGTCCGCCCCTCCCTCCGCCGCCCGGGTCCGCCCCTCCCTCCGCCGCCCGGGTCCGCCCCTCCCTCCGCCGCCCGGGTCCGCCCCTCCCTCCGCCGCCCGGGTCCGCCCCTCCCTCCGCCGCCCGGGTCCGCCCCTCCCTCCGCCGCCCGGGTCCGCCCCTCCCTCCGCCGCCCGGGTCCGCCCCTCCCTCCGCCGCCCGGGTCCGCCCCTCCCTCCGCCGCCCGGGTCCGCCCCTCCCTCCGCCGCCCGGGTCCGCCCCTCCCTCCGCCGCCCGGGTCCGCCCCTCCCTCCGCCGCCCGGGTCCGCCCCTCCCTCCGCCGCCCGGGTCCGCCCCTCCCTCCGCCGCCCGGGTCCGCCCCTCCCTCCGCCGCCCGGGTCCGCCCCTCCCTCCGCCGCCCGGGTCCGCCCCTCCCTCCGCCGCCCGGGTCCGCCCCTCCCTCCGCCGCCCGGGTCCGCCCCTCCCTCCGCCGCCCGGGTCCGCCCCTCCCTCCGCCGCCCGGGTCCGCCCCTCCCTCCGCCGCCCGGGTCCGCCCCTCCCTCCGCCGCCCGGGTCCGCCCCTCCCTCCGCCGCCCGGGTCCGCCCCTCCCTCCGCCGCCCGGGTCCGCCCCTCCCTCCGCCGCCCGGGTCCGCCCCTCCCTCCGCCGCCCGGGTCCGCCCCTCCCTCCGCCGCCCGGGTCCGCCCCTCCCTCCGCCGCCCGGGTCCGCCCCTCCCTCCGCCGCCCGGGTCCGCCCCTCCCTCCGCCGCCCGGGTCCGCCCCTCCCTCCGCCGCCCGGGTCCGCCCCTCCCTCCGCCGCCCGGGTCCGCCCCTCCCTCCGCCGCCCGGGTCCGCCCCTCCCTCCGCCGCCCGGGTCCGCCCCTCCCTCCGCCGCCCGGGTCCGCCCCTCCCTCCGCCGCCCGGGTCCGCCCCTCCCTCCGCCGCCCGGGTCCGCCCCTCCCTCCGCCGCCCGGGTCCGCCCCTCCCTCCGCCGCCCGGGTCCGCCCCTCCCTCCGCCGCCCGGGTCCGCCCCTCCCTCCGCCGCCCGGGTCCGCCCCTCCCTCCGCCGCCCGGGTCCGCCCCTCCCTCCGCCGCCCGGGTCCGCCCCTCCCTCCGCCGCCCGGGTCCGCCCCTCCCTCCGCCGCCCGGGTCCGCCCCTCCCTCCGCCGCCCGGGTCCGCCCCTCCCTCCGCCGCCCGGGTCCGCCCCTCCCTCCGCCGCCCGGGTCCGCCCCTCCCTCCGCCGCCCGGGTCCGCCCCTCCCTCCGCCGCCCGGGTCCGCCCCTCCCTCCGCCGCCCGGGTCCGCCCCTCCCTCCGCCGCCCGGGTCCGCCCCTCCCTCCGCCGCCCGGGTCCGCCCCTCCCTCCGCCGCCCGGGTCCGCCCCTCCCTCCGCCGCCCGGGTCCGCCCCTCCCTCCGCCGCCCGGGTCCGCCCCTCCCTCCGCCGCCCGGGTCCGCCCCTCCCTCCGCCGCCCGGGGTCACGCGCCGCGCGGTGCCCGCCCCGCCCCGCCCCGCCGCGCCGCGCCGCGCCTGGGCCAGCGCTTCCCCGCGGCAAGTCCCGAGCCCCGGCCCATGGAGCAGCTGCTGCGCGCCGAGCTGCGCACCGCGACCCTGCGGGCCTTCGGCAGCCCCGGCGGCGGCTGCATCAGCGAGGGCCGAGCCTACGACACGGACGCGGGCCCCGTGTTCGTCAAAGTCAACCGCAGGACGCAGGTGCCGGCCCGTGGGCTCGCGGGGCTCTGCGCCGCCTGGGGAGGCGGAGGGGCCGGGCGGGCGCATTTCCCCGGGCTGGGCCTGGTGGGGTCAGCTTCGGCGCTGCGGTCTGGCCCCTGCGGGGAGCGCGGCTCCAGCGTCCTCCGAAGCTTTCGGCACCACCGTTGCCTTCCCTTGGCCTCCATGCGCGGCGCACAGGCTTCTGGGGGTGGCTTTAATTTTTCTATCCATCAAGCATGCAGGGAGGTGAGGCTCGGGGTCCCGGGCCCAGCTCTGGGCCGCCCCTCTCAGCCCGCGGCCCTCCTGGCAGTGGGGACAAAGCAGAGACGTGGCTGGACCCTGCGAGGGTCCCCGCGGGCCAGGCTAGCGTTCCCCTTCGCACAGGCCTTGCCTGTGTTTAGCCCCGGTTTCTATCTCCTGCTGAAAATATTTCTGTTTAAGAATGTATGGGCCAGGCTCGGTGGCTCACACCTGTCATCCCAGCACTGTGGGAGGCCGAGGCAGGCGGATCACGAGGTCTGGAGTTCAAGACCAGCCTGGCCAACGTGGTGACACCCTGTCTCTACTAAAAATACAAAAATTAGCCGGGCATGGTGGCACACGCCTGTAGTCCCAGCTACTCCGAGGCTGAGGCAGAAGAATTGCTTGAACCCAGGAGGCGGAGGTTGTCTCAAAAAAAAAAAAAAAGAATGTATGGAAAATGTTAGCACAGGTGGAGAAAGTTAGCTTAAGCCTTGAGAGCAGGCAGGTGGGGAAAGGCAGGCCTGGGCACCCTCCTGGCCCGAGTGGGCTCAGGAGGCTCTGCCGCTCTGGTGGGGGAGCCTCTGAGGGGCTGCGGGGGTCCCGGTGGGGAGCACTGGCAGGAGGAACCCCAGAGCCAGGCAGCCTGGGCATGGGATCAGATCCTCCTGCATTGCCTGCTCTGCTGGTTCAGGACCCGAATCCCTCAGGGTGAGGAGTCCCACTCACTGGGAAGCAGTTTTTGGTTCAGGCTTCCTACGGGGCCTGGGAAACTTCCTCAGCTGGTCCTGAAAGCTCTGGAGGGTGAGACCCCGCCTTTCCTCCCACCCCGCGAAGGCCCTGCACACAGTAGGTGCTCAGTCCATGCATGAGCGCAGGAGACGCTGGGGTCCCTGGGGCTTAGCAGCCCGAAGCCCAGGAGTCCTCTGCCTGGTCACGTGGGGCTTGCCCTGGGAGCAGGGCTGGGGTGTGCCGCTGCCCTCCCAGCTGTAGATGCTCACACCCACCCGAGGGTCAGGCTGGCACGGGCTCCCAGGCTGGGGAGGCTGTACCTGGCTTCCCCTGGGGTACTTTGAAGTCAAGGGTGTTCTTTTCCTGAGTGACAGTAGATGCTTTGGTCTCATTCATGAGGTTTGATGTTTTATTTTTTTTTTATTTTTTTGAGTCGGAGTTTCGCTCTTGTTACCCAGGCTGGAGCGCAATGGCGCGATCTCGGCTCACCGCAACCTCCGCCTCCTGGGTTCAGGCAATTCTCCTGCCTCAGCCTCCTGAGTAGCTGGGATTACAGGCACGCGCCACCATGCCCAGCTAATTTTTTGTAGTTTTAGTAGAGATGGGGTTTCACCATGTTGACCAGGATGGTCTCGATCTCTTGACCTCGTGATCCACCCGCCTCGGCCTCCCAAAGTGCTGGGATTACAGGTTTTATTTTCTTTTGGGAAAACATGCAAGAGTGGAATTACTGAGTTGCAGAAAGTGAATGACTCATAGAAAGTGTATGACTTGACCAGGCATGGTGGCTCACACCTGTAATCCTAGCACATTGAGAGACTGAGGCAGGTAGATTGCCTGAGCCCAGGAGTTCAGGACCAGCATGAGCAACATGGTGCAACCCCATCTCTACTGAAATACAAAAAATTAGCTGGGTGTAGTGGCATGTGCCTCTAGTCTCAGCTACCCATGAGGCTGGGGTACGAGAATTACTTGAACACGGGAGACGGGGATTGCAGTGAGCTGAGGTGACAGCACTGCACTCTCGCCTGTGTGACAGAATGAGACTGTCTCCAAAAAAAAGGACTCATAATCATGGTTGTACTGATCCATGAAGATTGTACTGTTGACCATTTCTACCAAGAAGGCATGAGGATTCTAGCTGCCCTGGGGTTCTCTTCAGCACTTAGTGTTATCACTCGCTCTGATTTCAGTGGGTGCGCCTCACTGTTCGCTGCCTTTCCCAGATGCAAACTGCAGGTCCTTTCCATGTGGGAAGACTTGCAGCCCGGCATATGGTCTGTTTTGTTGAACGCTCCATGTGCACCTGAGAAAAATGTCAGTTCTGTTGTTGAGTAGATCGTTCTCTAAATGTGATGTAAGTAAGGTGAGTAAGGTGGTTGATAGTGCTGTTTAGGTTGTAGTGGTTTTCCGCTCGCTTGTCCTGTCGCTTCCTGTGGGTTGTAGTGGTTTTCCGCTCGCTTGT